ATTTCAACCCTGGTGAATCTGACGATTATGTGCCTTGGGGTTGCTCTTCTTGAGGAATATCTTTGTGGTGTTCTCTGTATTTCCTGGACTTGAATATCGGCCTGCCTTGCTAGATTGGGGAAGTTTTCCTGGATAATATCCTGAAGAGTATTTTCCAGCTTGGATTCATTCTCTTCATCACATTCAGGTACACCTATCAAACGTAGATTAGGTCTTTTCACATAGTCCCATATTTCTTGGAGACTTTGTTCATTCCTTTTTACCCTTTTTTCTCTATTCTTGCCTTCCCGTTTTATTTCATTGAGTTGATCTTCAACCTCTGATATCCTTTCTTCTGCTTCGTCAATTCAGCTGTTGATACTTGTGCATGCTTCACGAAGTTCTCGTGTTGCGTTTTTCAGCTCCATCAATTCACTTATATTCCTTTCTATTTTGTCCATTCTCGTTAGCATTTCGTCAAATCTTTTTTCAAGGTTCTTAGTTTCTTGGCATTTGGTTAGAACGTGTTCTTTAAGTTCACAGAAGTTTCTTACTACCCACCTTCTGAAGTCTGATTCTGTCATTTCATCACACTCGTTCTCCATCCAACCTTGTTCCCTTGCTGGTGAGGAGTTGTGATCCCTTGTAGCAGGAGAGGTGTTCTGGTTTCGGGTGTTTTCATCCCTTTTGCACTGGTTTCTTCCCATCTTTATGGATTTATCCACCTGTCGTCTTTGTAGTTGCTGGCTTTCAGATTGGGTCTCTGAGTGGATGTTCTGTTTGTTGATGATGAGGTTATTCCTGTTTCTTAGTTTTCCTTCTAACAGTCTGGCCCCTCTGCTGTAGGTCTGCTGAGGTCCACTCCAGGCCCTGCTTGCCTGGGGATCACCTGCAGCAGCTGCTGAACAGTAAGGGTTGTTACCAGTTTTCTTCTTCTGCTGTCTTTGTCCCAGAAGGATACCAGCCAAGTGTCAATCTGATCTCTCCTTTATGAGGTGACTCTTTGGATATACAGGGGTCAGGGAGCTGCTTGAAGAGACGGTCTCCTCTTTATGGGAGCTCAAATGCTGAGCTGTGAGCTCTGTTGTTCATTCAGAGCTGCTGGACAGGTACGTTTAGGTCTGCTGCAGCAGAACTCATAAACCGCTTTTTGTTCCCAGGTGCTCTGTCCCAGGGATTTAGGGCTTTATGAGTTTCCGTTATGCTGCTGCCTTTTTTTTTTTTTTTCCTTCAGAGCTGGCCTGCCCAGCAAGGAGGCAGCCTAGTCACTGTTTGCCTGTAGAGGCTTTGCTGAGCTGCTGTGGGCTCTGCCCAGCTGCCGAGTGAACTTCCCTGCAGTCCTGTTTATATGGGTGTAGTTAGAACTGCCTCGGCAATGGTGGCCCACTTCTGTTAAGGCGGAGTCTCTCTGTAGTGGCGGGTTGCCTTGGCAACGGCGGGCTGCCTCAGCATTGGTTGACTACCTCCATAGTGGTGGAGTGCCTCGGTAATGGCGGATGCCCCTCCCTCACAGAGCTGGCCCCTCCCCCACAGAGCTGGACCCTCCTGGGTTCAGCTGCGCTTGCTGTGAAACTCTCAATCCAGTGGGTTTCTGATTGCTGTTCTTTTGTGGGGGGTGGGACCAGCCGAGTCTGATCGCCTGGCTCCCTGCCTCAGAGCATTTTTTTTTTTTTTTTAAGATGGTGTTCCAGTCGCCTGTTGAAGAGGCGCCGGGGTCTCTGTATTTTCCCGTGCGGCAACTCACTGCGCTGGCTTAAACAGTGGCACTGAGATTCGTGGCGCTTTTTTGCCCTGGAATCTACTGTCTTGGTTCCCTGCTCAGTCCCCTTTTTAAACAGACGAATAGGCGACTTCCCGTGGCTCCAATCGCCAGCCAAAAGGGCACCCAGACCGGTGTATTTTGTACAGAGAACCGCTGCCGTGCCGGGCAAAGCAGTGGCGCCAGCCAGCACAGCCGCGCTGGCCGAAACAGTCCCGCTGGCGACTGGTGGAGCTTCTCCGCCTGGGAATTTCCTAGTCTGTGGGCAATAAAAATGCGGCGTCCACTCACCCTCTGCCCTTTCACTGGGAGCTGCAATCCTGAGCTGTTCCTAAACGGCCATCTTGGATCCAATCCGGTCTCGATCTCTTAACCTTGTGATCCACCCGCCTCGGGCTCCCAAAGTGCTGGGATTATAGGTGTGAGCCACCGCGCCCGGCCCGATTGATGATCTTAATTGAGCCAAAAGGTTCTTCTGGGGCTCCATATCCTAGGCCACTAATGAAAACTAGACACAGCAAGCTAGTAAGTTTTAGTGTCAAGAAAAACTGTAGTGGTTTTGGAAACTTATAGAAAGAGCATTTATATTTCCAGAATTCAAGGAAAAGCATAATTTTTCTGAAGCATTAATCAAGAGAGTTTAGACTTTTGAAATCATAGAGATAAAAAGAGTTTCTAAGGATTAAGGAAGGAGAAAGCTTTTGGGCATGAGGGAAACCAGCAGACATTTATTTCTTGTAAGAGCTTGTCAAGGCTCTTCAGGAAGAGAAGCCAGCTTTTATCATCTGGGGAGGGCTCTAGAATGTAGGGAAGCTGCCGGACCTGGTTTGTAGAGTTCAAGGCATTTGGCGTCTGGCTCCAAACAGAGGTAAAACAAAGGGGCTCACATTTGGTGAATCAAGAGTTCAGGCTCAAAGACCTACCTTGGTAGTCAGAGGCTTCCTAGAGCAAGGGTTGGATGATGACCGATGAGTGTTCTGGGTTCAGGCTGCAGGTACAGATGGTTAACGGTGTTCAGGGAAAGCTGGTGAAAATGTCAAGGTTAGGGGTTCCAGAGAGCCACTGTCAGCCTGAGGGAACTCAAATGGCACCTATCTCCAGATACCCAGAGGCCTGACTGGGGCCTGTCTCTTCTGGGCTCACGTGGAAGCCAATCTTGGAGGAAAAGGGACAGGCAAAGACAAGTCAAGGTGAACATAAGGTGGAAATGGAGCCGTTGAGTTAGAAGGAAGATCTCATCTTGGAATATGGATACATTGTCATTCTATTTTTTAATAGTAAAACATGGATTTTGTTTTTTTGAGATGGAGTTTTGTTCTTTTTGCCCAGGCTGGACTGCAACCTCCACCTCCCATTAAAGTGATTCTCCGGCCTCAGCCACCGGAATAGCTGGGATTACAGGTGCGTCCCACCACACCCAACTAATTTTGTATTTTTAGTAGAGATGGGGTTTCACCATGTTGGCCAGGCTGATCTTGAACTCCTGACCTCAGGTGATCTGCCTACCTCAGCCTCCCAAAGTATTGTGATTACAGACGTGAGCCTCTGCACCCAGCCCAATATTCTTTATTAAAACATTAAACAATATTTCATGATGAAGGATAAGGATAGAATGATAGTAGATAACATAATCCTTAGTGTATGCTAGATGCTTTTCTCTGAAGCATACAAACCTTAAGAAACTTGTCCAGATGACTGAGTATAGAGACAAAATTTGAACTAGGCAATCTGGCTGCAGAGCCTGAGGTGTTCTCAAAATACACTGCCATAAAGGCATTTAACTTAGTCCCTTTTCCTTTCATTTTTTTTTTTTTTTTCTTTTTTGAGATGGAATCTTGCTCTGTCACCAGGCAGGAGTGCAGTGGTGTGATTTTGGCTCACTGCAACTTCCGCCTCCTGGGTTCATGCAATTCTCCTGCCTCAGCCTCCAAGTAGCTGGGACTACAGGTGTGTACCACCACACTTAGCTAATTTTTGTAGTTTTAGTAGAGATGGGGTGTCACCATGTTGGCCAGCATGGTCTCGATCTCTTGACCTTGTGATCTGCTTGCCTCAACCTCCCAAAGTGCTGGGATGACAGGCGGAAGCCACTGCATCCAGCCTCCTTTCATTCTTAACTGCCGTGGTTCCTGATCTTTCATATTTATAGATTTAAAGAAATGAAACTTTTGCTTCTGTTTTGTACTTACCTGTTTAGTTGAGTGTCATGCTAAGTTACTTAGAGTCTTCTCTCCTGTATTTATATTGCTTTCTCAGGTTGTCATTTTCTCATCTTGGAAAAAAGCTTGAGAGTAAAGAGACAAAGTGACAGTATGTTCTCCAGTAGCCTTTTTCAAGTTATACTACTTAGTTGAAGAGCATGATTGGTTGTATTGACACGTAATAGCCAAAATGGTAATAATTATAGTAACAACAAACAATCCTGATCACCATGTTTATAAATTGAAAAAACATCGTAAAGCATCATGTTCCCCTTTTTTTTTTTTTTTTTTTTTTGAGACAGAGTTTCTCTCTGTCACCCAGGCTGGAGTGCAGTCACGCGATACCTGCTCACTGCAACCTCCACCTCCCAGGTTCAAACGATTCTCCTGCTTCAGCCTCCTGAGTAGCTGGGATTACAGCTGCAAGTCACCATGCCTGGCTAATTTTTTGTATTTTAGTGGAGACAGGGTTTCACCGTATTGCCCAGGCTGGTTGTGAACTCCTGAGCTCAGGCAATCTGCCTGCCCAGCCTCCCAAAGTGCTGGGATTCCGCGCCGGCCCATGTTCCCTTTCTGTTCTGCTTTTTCACCCACTTACTGATGAAGAATACAATATAGGATGATAACGCCAGCCACGCTTTTTGCATGTGAATCTAGTCCTAAACACTAATAATGTATTATTTTTAAAAAGCAATTGATTTGGGAACTGAGTGCTATTGTTTTAAATGAAAACAGTATCTTGCCAGTAAGAAATTTTGGTTTTGATTATGTGGAACAAACACTGATTTTTAGATTTGTAAGGTAGCCATCACTTTGCCTGCTTTTTCCGTTTAAGAACTCTGATACCCAAATAATAGAGTGTTCCCAAGCTGCATCTGTTTTTTAATTTATTTTTGTTTTGCCCAATACGCAAGTGAGTAGACAAAATAATAGTTTTTATTTGGATGCATTGCAAAACATAAATGTACATTTTACCTAGAAAAAAAAGCAAGACCATTGATTTACTAAGTCTTGTAGCTGCTATACGGTAGATTTCATGAGAAATACGATTCTGTTACCAGATTGCAGCAGGAGAGAAGATTCCTTTGAGCCAGGAAGAAATACCTCTGCAGGGCCATGCCTTCGAAGCTAGAATATATGCAGAAGATCCTAACCATAACTTCATGCCTGAGACTGGACCACTAGTGCACCTCTCTACCCCGCCAGCAGACCCTTGCACTAGAATTGAAACTGGAGTACGGCAAGGTCAAGTGAATAAAATAAAGGGTTTCATTCTTTCTAAGTTTTTAGTACATTATTATTTTTGGACAGATTCTTATCCCTGAGTCTTATGGAAATGTCTAGCATATTTTAAAATAAAGAATTTAAGTGATTTCTTGGTAACCATTATTTTTTCCCTTGGAAATTGTTATTTTTAAAGAATAGTGAGTATTTTTAAACAGTGGACTCTCTTTTTTTGGGATTCAGCAGTACTTGGTCAAACCTAACCAGAAAATGTTTCGTGTGTACTGTCTTACTTTTTTTTTTTTTTTTTTTTCACCTTGCCTCGTTCCAAAAATGATTTAAGATAGACTGATATCTGCTATGCTCAAGGCATACTGCCTTCAAGGGACATAAAGTCAAGTTGGAGAATTAATACATAAACTTAGTACAAGCTAAACAATAATTTAAAAAATTACAGGAAAGAAACAGTTGGAAGAGCTGTGACATTTCAGTACATGATTAATGACAGTGGTCATAACTAGTGATTACTTAGCACTTCTTACTGGCACTGCCAGGTGATTTTTCTACGTGTGTTCATTTCCTCATGAGAACTGCCTTGTGAGTAGGTGTCATTTTCATCCCTACTTTTTAGATGAGGAAACTGGAGTTAAGTAACTTGTCCAAGGTCATCCTTGGAGCCAAGATTCAGACCCAGGCTGTCTGGCTCCTGAGTCAGTGCTCTGGAGCCTCCACTGTCTCCTGACATCTTCATTTCAGTTGATGGAATAAGTTATACAGTGATGGGATATATCAATTGTCAGGGGTAAGAGCTTACATTAGACTGATATAATCAGGACAAGTTTGTTTTTGTCTTTTGTTTTTTTGAGACAGGGTCTCGCTCTGTTGCCCAGGCTGGAGTACAGTGGTGTGATCTTGGCTCACTGCAGTCGTTATCTCCGTGGCTTAAGCAGTTCTCATGCTTCAGCCTCCTGAGTAGCTGGGATTGCAGGTGTGCACCACCATGCCTAGCAGATTTATTTATTTATTTATTTATTTATTGTATTTTTAGTAGAGACAGGTTTTCACCATGTTGGCTAGGCTGGTCTCAAACTCCTGGCCTCACGTGATCTGCCTGCCTCGTCCTCTTAAGGTGCTGAGATGACAGGGGTGAGCCACCACGCCTGGCCAGGACAAGCTTTTAAGAAGATGACTGGAATGGATTTAGGCAGGTAGATTTAACAACACAGTGAAGAGTGAAGAGAACAGAAAAAAGCATGTTCGAAGAATAGTAAGAAAATCCATGGCTGAAGACATGGGTTGAAGGTGAATCATATGGTGTCTTGAAAGCCAAAATGAGGATTTAGGACTTCGCAGCATTTTGAGAGCTCTGGATAAGCCACAGCAAGATTTGGTAGTTAGTAGACTTTTTAACTTTTCAGTGAAGCGTCTCAACTCTGCTTGTCTCATGGATTCCTTCCTTTCTACTGCAGGCAGCTTTAATCTTATTAATGAGGACTCTGAGGTTCAAAGAGGTCATGTGACTGCCAAAATCCTGGAAAGACCCTGTAACAATGTCCTTTACAGCACACCACCCACTTGAACCATTTCTAACCAGTGGAATGTCCTCTGGTTCAGATTCTTGTTCTTTAGGACTGTAACCATCACAGTGATGATAGCTGCCATTGGACCTCAGGGCCCTCATGAATAAATTTATGGCAATGGTATTTATCATGCAGGGGTTTATGAGGATTAAGCGTGAAATGTACATAACAAAATGTCTTGCTCGTTGTGTTTTATTCTTTTATGTTTTGACTTGAAGGGGTTACCATGGTTTTCAATTTCAGGAGATGAAGTTTCTGTGCATTATGACCCCATGATTGCGAAGCTGGTCGTGTGGGGGGCAGATCGCCAGGCGGCGTTGACAAAACTGAGGTACAGCCTTCGTCAGTACCATGTGAGTGACCCGAGGCCATGCCAGTGACCTTGATGTGTTTGGTCAGCACAAGAGGTCAGCCTTTGCCTTTGGCAGGGCCTTGGTCTTGTCGGAGTATTTCCTATTTCCATCAGTTGCCCAAACAAAATAATTTCATAGGGGAGAATGTTGCACAGGCCAGAACAGGGTTTGAGGATTTGTTGATTTCCGTTACAAAAGAAAGATTACGGAAGTATTGTTAGTGTCAGTGCTGTGTTTCAGGGAAGTTCTGTTGACTCTGTAGATAAGGCCAGCTATACATGGTACCTTAGTAGGTTTTTTATTTTTCCTTAGAGCTGCCCACAGTAGAAAATACTTAGGAAATAAAAGCAGGTGTTTTTTTGAATGTTGTTTTCCCTGCTCAGTGTGACCTACAGTCTGGTAATTTTTCTCTGAAGTAAAATAATTATGTTCAGTTTCATCCCTTTGATAGAGTTTGTTATTTTTCTGTAGAACATTAATTTCCTTGGTGCAGAAAGTCCCATACCACACTGATTTAGCTCAGAGAAGGATTTATTAACCCAGTTATTCAACTTGTTATATGCTAATAATTGATCAAAGCTCTGGTCTCTGTGGCCGCAATCACACTGGCCGCTTTGCCACTTCTGAGACCCACTCAGCATGGAGCCATGAATTCCTGTCCAGTCTTCCAGAATATTCTTCCCCCCCACATGATTGCAGGGCTCCCTCCTGGCTACCCTGCCCCCCTGCTCTGAGCCCTTTCCCAGGCTGCCCCATTTAAAGTATGACCTTTTGTTATTCTCCATGCTCGTAGCCAGCCTTCGTTTTCTCGATGGCATATGACGTTGTATTAGATGCCTGTTTACAGACATTGTTACTTGTTTCCCTAGAATGTAAGCAGAGACTGTGAAGGCAGGGACCTCATCCCTTTTGTTCCTCACTGTGTCCCCAGTGCCTGTATCAGAGCCTGCCACCCAAGAGATGCTCTGGAAATGGCTGTTAAACCAGTGAAGGAATGATTGAGTGAATGAAGAACCTACAACTCAGAGCTGGTTTTACTTTCAATCCCATTTATTGGTATATCTGGGTTAATTTTATGTCTTTAAAAATTTTTGTATCAGTATATAAAATTTGGATTTGAGTGTTAGAAGGAAGCTCTTTTGAGGTTATTTAATCCTATCATCTCCCCAGTATAGCAATCCTGCTTGTGGTTTGCAGTCTTCCTGTTCTCTGGAAGTATTCTGAGCAGCAAGCCTTCAATACTTTGCAAATGAATTTCATGTATGTTTCTTAACATTGATTACTTTCCTAACCTGAGTCAACAAAGTGCCTCTATACTGCCTACTATAACGGCATTTCCTGCCTCCCCTTTGTCATATTAAAATGTAATTTTAAGTGTTAAGTCTGGATGGATACAGTAATGGACATAGTCATAGTGATGTGAGGTTTTGTTTTGTTTTTCCTGAGAGTTGTCCTGTTGCCACATGGTAACTTAGGAGGTTTTTATTTTTCCTAAGGGTTATTCATAGTAGAAGATACCTAGATAAAAAGAGCAGATGGTTTTCTGAACATATTGTTTTCCCCACTCAGGAGGAACTGGGGCTTTATTCTCTTCCTAGATTGTTGGACTGCACACCAACATCAACTTCTTACTTAACCTGTCTGGCCACCCGGAGTTTGAAGCTGGGAACGTGCACACTGACTTCATCCCTCAGCACCACAAAGAGCTGCTGCCCAGTCGGAAGGCTGCAGCCAAAGAGTCTTTATGCCAGGCAGCCCTGGGCCTCATCCTCAAGGAGAAGGCCATGACTGACGCCTTCACTCTCCAGACGCAGGGTATGGAAGGCTTTTCCCTTTCCTCTGCTTGTCAAGTGTTGCGAGTCAGCATTGAACGTGCTTTTCTCTCTCTATGGCCCCCTTGCCTCTCTTTTCACCTCTCAGTGACTGACACCATTCTTTGCAGATGTGTTTTTTAGTATGAAGGAAAGCTCTTGGCTTGCCATGGATGCACCCATAAACACTGTTTAACCCATTAACTGTAGCGTAACTAAACACCTAACACTGTAGAAATGGATCTCTTTTCAGTCAAGCACTTGTTCTCCCCATGTCCTGTGCTAACTTCTTACCACTTTCGTTTGTTCGCCACTCCTCAGGGGCCTGCTTTGTTATATCCTCTGTACCTCCGGCACTCCCTTTGTCCCAGAGTGTCAAGACAGAACACAGGAGGCTTAGATTCCCTGGGGTTACCCATGACTTAGTGTCGAATCACTTCTTCCTGTCTTTCCATCCTGTGATTGTCTACCTGGAGACTTCATAGTGTCATAGAATCCAAGCATGGGAAGGGCCATAGCAGGCGTACATCCTGGCTACGGCCCACATGCATTCCCTCCTACCTCAGCACACCCGCTAAGTTGTTGCTCAGCTTCTTCCTAACACCCCAGGAAACTGGAAATTCATTACCTCATAGGGTAGCTTAGAGTTTCAGCCAGTTCCCCCATTAGAAAGTTCTTCCCTTTAAATTGATACACAATCTCAGCCTTCACAAACTTGTTGCATTTCAGGCTAGCTCTGACCTTTGGAGCAAACAGAATTTTTAAAAATCTAATCGATTTTTCTCTTTCATTGGTAATTATTTTATTACCCTATACAGTTTGAGCATCCCAAATCCCCAAATCCGAAATGCTCCAGAATCAGAAGGTTTTTGAGCACTAACATGACACTCAAAGGAAATGCTTATTGGAACATTTCAGAGTCCAGATAGTTGGATCAGGGTGATGAGCCAGTTAAATATGATGCAAATAATCCAAAATCTTAAAAAAAAAAAAAAAAAAAAAAAAAAAATCTAAAATTCAAAGCACTTCTGGTCCCAAGCATTTTGGATAAGGGATACTGAACCTGTATTATTATAGGATTCCCTATTGGAATCTTTCATTTCTAGATTCATTTACATTCATTCAGGATAGCTATATTGAAAGCTTAAAATGTAAAATGTTTTAAGTGCTGAAAGCTACATCTTTAGAAGATTTTATCCTCATTTTATCCTTTCACATTGAATGAAAATGCATCTAAATATGTCCCATGTGATATTCCTGAGCCTGAACTTAACATATTTAGAATGGAGTGTTCTCTTACTGTGACCTTCCTTTTAAAAGTTTATAATTGGTACAGAGATGAGATTCAGAATAAATTATGTCAGCTTAGCTTTGCCGAAGCTCCTGGATATTGTCCAGTAGAGGAGGTACACCCAAATGCCTATAAAGGGCTAGGCACTGTGGTTCATGCCTGTAATCCCAACAATTCGGGAGGTCTGGGGCAGCTGTATTTCTTAAATCAGGAGTTTGAGACCAGCCTGGCCAACACAGTGAAACCCTATCTCCACCAAAAATGGAAAAATTAGCTGGCCATGGTGGCATGCACCTATAATCCCAGTTACTTGGGAGGCTGAGGCAGGAGAATCACTTGAACCCGGGAGGTGGAAGTTGCAGTGAGCCAAGATCATGCCACTGCACTACAGCCTGGGCAACAGAGCAAGACTCTGTGTCAAAAAAACAATGCCTCTAAGGGCTGTGCCAACAACACAGAAGAGGAAAAGAGGCCAGGTGAAAGAAAAATAGGGAATAGTAGAGGCTTTAGTGACTTGGAATGAATATGAATTTGCCCCATCAAAGGGGGTGACTGTGGTGTAGCTTATGCCACCACAGGATGAGAGTTGAGACTGCAAATATTCAGATTCTTCAGTAGATGCTAGAATTTTTAATATGGAATTCCATAAGATATAAACAAATTTCTCTCTGTAAACCCGAAACAATGACTAGCGTTTTATGTTTTCTTTTGTAAGGTGTAAATTTCATAGGCTTGATACTCATACATTTGTTACTGAATTTTAAATTTTTTCTAGATCAGTTCTCTCCATTTTCATCTAGCAGTGGAAGAAGACTGAATCTCTCTCACACCAGAAACATGACTCTTAAAGATGGTAAAAACAGTAAGTAATGTTTCATTAAAAGAGAAAGTTGAGTCATAGAAATGTAGCACATTGATCTGAAAAAGAGGGTTCCAGCCTGGTCATGATCAGTCGGTTACACTTTAAAATGCGTACCCTGAACATTGGGAGGAAAAATGCCAAAATAATAGAATTGATCCGCTCTGGGTAGTAGAGTTCATGGTATCTGCTTTTCTTCTTTGCAGTTTTCAAATGTTTTGTAAATATTCTAAAAATATGTCATGAAATAAACGTAGCAAAACAGCTGAGATGAAATATGCCCCAGAATGTTTGAAATATGCCCCAAAAAACCCCCTTGTCACCAACTATTCACATTTTTTTTTTTGCTTTGCAATTTTTCTGCAGTGAGAATGTATACTTTTAAATAAGAAAAACAATATCCAAAACTATGTCAGAGAGGGATGATTGCCCACTGCTCAGGCAGTGATTCAGGTAGAAGCGGGTCACTAGAGAGCTATAATTTGTTAGGTGCCTTATCTCATGTAAGTTTTTATCTTCACAGCGTGAGCGGGAGTCGCTGTTATACCCATGTATGGATAATGAAAGCGTGGATGATAAGACACGGAAGTGAAGTAATTTAGTTAAGGCCAGCAAGTGGGTGGAGCTAAGATTCACACTCTTTTTGACCTTGACTCTCATGCTATTTCCACCATTTTTCCAGCAGAAAATTGATTTTTAATTGTAAACTCATTTAAGTTGGCTCAATTTAGGGACTGGCTTACTTTAACTGAAGTCAAAAGAGGCCGACACTTAAGCCAGAAGGCAGTTTATAAACTTTTGGCTGGAGCAGTGTAGCAGCAGGACCACAATTCTATGATAGCTGATCACTGTATCCCTTCTGCTATAAGACAGTTTGTGTGGGAAGCCCAATGGGCACAGAGTCAGAACTCAGAGTGCTGGCTAATCTCAAATGTGAGATGTCATTGAACTGTGACAGTTCTGTTATAAAAATGTGCCTCCCAGGTAGAGCAGAATCCTCTTGTCAGCTGATCAGAGAACACTCTTCTTTGGGCAGAGGAAAATCTTTTTTTTTTTTTTTTTTTTTGAGATGGAGTTTTGCTATTGTTTCCCAGGTTGGAGCAGTGGTGTGATCTCGGCTCACTGCAACCTCTGCCTCCCCGGTTCAGGTGATTGCCCTGCCTCAGCCTCCTGAGTAGCTGGGATTACAGATGCCCGCCGGTACGCCCAGCTAATTTTTGTATTTTTAGTAGAGACGGGGCTTTACCATATTGGCCAGGCTGGTCTTGAACTCCTGACCTCAGGTGATCCACCTGCCTCAGCCTCCCAAAGTGCTGGGATTACAGGCATGAGCCACTGCGCCCAGCTGGAAAATCTTTTTTACTTCACCTCTATGAAGACACTCACTCAGTAACAAATATTTTGTTCACACTAGTTTGTTGGGTCATAACTCCAGTTATTTTTCAGTCCTGAGCCTAGATGGTCATTACCATAAGTACATTGGGCATATTGTCAACCCTTTATAACAAAAATTTGTAGACATCCTTTATATAGTAGCATTCTGCAAATAGCTAGCCCATCCATTGGGGGCTGTCTCTTTTCATCGTAAAGAGACAGCCCCCAAAATCTGGAATTATCTTACTCTAGACTCCTATATGCTACATACAAGTATCAAAAGCAGTAAAGTTTCACTGACCCCTTTGACGAGAATTAAACAGAAGAATTACATGTGTGATTATAATTCATATAAGCCAACTGTGTTATTTGGCATGGCTCTTCATTAAAGCACCAAGCACTAATTTGAAGTATGCTGGGGTTTTGGAATTAAAGTTTTAATTAAAAAATAAATACATGCCGGGCGCGGTGGCTCAAGCCTGTAATCCCAGCACTTTGGGAGGCCGAGGCGGGTGGATCACGAGGTCAAGAGATCGAGACCATCCTGGTCAACATGGTGAAACCCCGTCTCTACTAAAAATACAAAAAAAAATTAGCTGGGCATGGTGGCACGTGCCTGTAATCCCAGCTACTCAGGAGGCTGAGGCAGGAGAATTGCCTGAACCCAGGAGGCGGAGGTTGCGGTGAGCCGAGATCACGCCATTGCACTCCAGCCTGGGTAACAAGAGCGAAACTCCGTCTCAAAAAATAAAAAAATAAAAAAAATAAATAAATACATAATTGAAAAGCCAACATGGTTGCTGTTCACTACACACTTTTGGCAATATTTTATGAAAATAATCCAAGTCTGTATGAAACAGCTTTCAGAAAAGGTTATATAGCTAAGTCTCCAAAAAATGCTAATTAGCAATGACGAGAATTAAATAAAGAAAAGTGCAGGAAACAGGAAGCTTAAGAGACCAGGCCAGGCACAGTGGCTCACACCTGTAATCTCAGCACTATGGGAAGCTAAGGCAGGAGGATTGCTTGAGGGCAGGAGTTCGAGATCAGCCTGGGTGACATACTGAGATCCTGTTCCTATTTATAAAATAAAACTTTATTTAAAAAAAAAAAGATACTGGCCGGGCATGGTGGCTGAAGCCATCAGCACTTTGGGAGGCCGAGGCGGGTGGATCACGAGGTCAAGAGATCGAGACCATCCTGGTCAACATGGTGAAACCCTGTCTCTACTAAAAATACAAAAATTAGCTGGGCATGGTGGTGCGTGCCTGTAATCCCAGCTACTCAGGAGGCTGAGGCAGGAGAATTGCCTGAACCCAGGAGGCGGAGGTTGTGGTGAGCCGAGATCGTGCCATTGCACTCCAGCCTGGGTAACGTGAGTGAAACTCCATCTCAAAAAAAAAAAAAAAAAAAAGATACCAGAAGCATTTATGAATCTAAAGCAGAAGCAACTTCTAGTGACCTCAATGAGAATGACCAACTATTTTAAGTATTCAAGGCTTGAAAACTATTCTTACTTTGCTACTAGAGGTCATGTTTCACAGAACCCTGCCCAACTTCAGTGATAATAATAGCTAAGATTTATTGAGTATTTGGTATATGTCAGATACTATGTTACACATTTTCCAAAGATTGTTTCATTTGCATTTTCAGAACAGGCCAATGAGATTGATGTTATTATTAGTGTCGACTTTGTAAATTACTACTCTTTCTATACCAAGGTCAAGGTTCAGAGAGATTAGTAATTTTCCAGAAGTCACACTGAAAGTAATTGGTGGAATCAGGATTTGAACCCACACTCCAGGATACATGTGCTAGCCTTAAACTGCACACATGCACACACTCGTATACCCTATTACATGTATAAGAGGATGTTTAAGGTCTCTTGTAGGTGACGAGAGATATCTAGGGTAGGAGTTTTCCTGGTAGTGTCTTTACTGTGATCTGCTGGCATTCGTGCTAGTTAAATGCATGTCATATTTTATAAATACAAAGAAAATGGCTGTGGTGTAATTGGAGGCACCTTCTCCTAAGAAGAGCTAAAGCCTGTTAACATGGTAAGTCAGGGTGGAGAAGTTTCATTCATTTATACATTGAGTACAAAGTTTTTGATAAAATAGATATGCCAAGTGATGTGGAAAAGAGGGAAAAAAGGCTTTGTCCCTGTTTTTTTTTCTCTTAAGGAATTTACCATTTGGAAGTGTGTATGTTGAGAAGATGAAGAGCGTAGTGGTTGAAAGTGCAGGCCCTGGAGTTCACGTGCTTTAGTATTTGACTTTTGTGAACATTTTTATTTTGATAATTTTTCTGAAACAAGTGATAGGAAAATCACTCTTTATAAACCAGGATGAGGGGAGACTCATAGTGGTGTTTTGTACGCAGAAGAGGGAGAATTAACTCTGGCCAGGTGGACTCTTCCCAAGGACAGCGAGCCTGATGTGAATAGGCGGTGGGGTTTCTGTGCTGTGGCTGGGCACCAGCAGTGTAGTGAAGGAGAAGCGTTCAAGCGATTCTCCTGCCTCAGCCTCCCACGTAGCTGGGACTACAGGTGTGCATCACCACCCCCAGCTAATTTTTGTATTTTTAGTAGAGACGGGGTTTCACTATGTTGGCCAGGCTGGTCTCAAACTCTGATCTCAGGCGATCTGCCTGCTTTGGCCTCCCAAAGTACTGATATTACAGGTGTGAGCCACCGCCCCCAGCCTGGGGAATGTTAATTGTCCCATTTTCACATTTGGTTGGAGCATCAGGCCATCCATGGAGGAGAATGGTAGGAAATAAGACCAAAAGGTTGGGACCTTCAGTATCAGGCCAAGTATTTGGAATGGGGTCAGGACATTAGCTCTGAGTATTGAAATGAGAAGCGGGAAGATTCCAGAGGACCTCCTCAGATCAGCCAGGCCTGAGGCAGTGGGGCCTGAGGCAGGGGAGAGCAGTAGGAATGGCAGGAGAGGTGCATAGGACAGGTATTTAAGGGAAGAATTTGGCAGCTTTGTAGTACCTGTTGCATGTGGAAGGCAAAGGAGAAGGACGAGGCAAGGATGACTTTGAGCCTGGAAGACAAGGGGCATAGGGGTGCCAGTCAGGGAGCTCAGGTCTGGAGGAGAAGAGGATTTGTTGGCCCTGCCATGTGCCTCTGAAGTCGCCAGTGGAGGATCCAGCTGGAAGTGACTAATCAGAGGTCACCTGGAGAAGGAAGGCTAGGGCTGCAAACAGATTTGAACTGGCAGCATCAAAATGATCGTTGAAGCATCAGAAGCAGACAAATTGATTTTTACCTATGCACTGTACCCCACAAAACTTTAGATTTTCGTCTCCTTGGATAGTCAACCAGTTCCATACTCATGTAATCTGGGCCTACTCTGGAGTTATTTCAGGTTTGCTTACAGACCACTGCAATAAAGTGAGCCAAACAAAGGTTTTGGTTTCCTCATGCATATGAAAGTTATGTTTATAGGCCTGGCATGGTGACTCACACCTGTAATCCCAGCACTTTGGGAGGCTGAGACGGGCGGATCATGAAGTCAGGAGTTTGAGACTAGCCTGATCAATGTGGTGAAACCCTGTCTCTACTGAAAATAGAAAAATTAGCTGAACCGGGTGGCGCACACCTGTAATTCCAGCTACTCAGGAGGCTGAGGTAGGAGAATCGCTTGACCTGGGAGGTGGGGGTTGCAGTGAGCTGAGATCACTCCAGCCTGGGTGACACAGTGAGACTCCATCTCAAAAAAAAAAGAAAAAAATATGTTTATATTATATTGTAGTTTATTGTGTGCCAATAATATTATGTCTAAACAAACAATATATATACCTTAATTTATAAATGCTTTATGGTTAAAAAAAAAAAAAAAGCTAATGATGCTCTAAGCCTCCAGTGAGTTGTAATCTTGTTGCTGGCGAAGGGTCTTGCCTCAGTGTTAATGGCTGTGATTGACTTAGTGTGGTGGTTGCTGAAGATTGGGGTGAGTAGCAATTTGCGTAAAATAAGACACCAAGGAGGTTTGCTGCATCAGCTGACCCTTCCTTTCATGAAAGATTTCTCTGCAGTGTGCAGTGCTGTCGAGATGCAGCAATTCAGTCACATCTTCAGGCTCTACTTCCAATCCTGGATCCCTTGCTATTTCTACCACCTGCAGTGACTTCCTCTGCTAAAGTTTTGAACCCCTAAGTCATCTGTGAGGCATTCTTCCAAACTCCTGTTAATGTTGATAATTTGACCTCGTTCCATGAATCACAAATGTTCTTAATGGCATCTAAAAAGTTTTCAATTTACTTTGCCCAGATCCATCAGAAGACTCACTATCTATGGCAGCTATTGCCTCACGAAATATATTTCTTAATAAGACTTGAAAGTTGAAATTACTCCTTGATCCCTGGGCTGCAGAAAGGATGTTGTGTTAGCAGGCGTGAAAACATTAATCTCCTTGTACATCTCCATCAGCGCTTGTGAGGAATGCTCCCGTGTGAGGCCCCCCCCGAAAATGGGCCTCACAATACGGAGGGCTCGAGCCCAGACACAGTGTCTCCAGTTGAGGGAGTCGAGCTATCGGAAAGCAGGAACAGAGAAAGCCTTAGGTTAAAGTTAAACTTGTGGGCAATCGCCAGATGGCCGTGCAGTCATGAGATGCATTGTGTACGATAATTGAGTTTTCTACTAAGACATGTTTTACGTATGTGATAATTGAGTTTTCTACTAAGACATGTTTTACGACTTTGCTGATTTTCTCTAGAAGATAAATGACTTACCCTTAGATGAGATAGTGTGACCACCTGTTCTGGTTAATTAAATGGCTTGCCCCTAGATGAGATAGTGTGAGTACCTGTTCCGGTTAATTGTGTATCTGACCTTTCCATTGTTCTTACCCTATGATGTTGATTTTTCTACTTTAAAACTTTCTGTACCCCTTTGTCTCACGTAGACACATACCTAAAAAAGATATATATACTGACCCTGAGCACGAATAAAGTTGTTGTAAAGCATATGCTTTTCAACCCTCCAGACCCCATCTGTCTATCATTCTTTGTCTTCCGCGCACCCCCCTATCCAAGTTGGAACCCTCTTGCAGGTCGAGAGCTCCTGGCAGACGTGCTCCCGATAAGCGCTCTTGGGTGGTGACTGTATGCATTGTCACTGAGTGATAATATTTTGAAAGGAATTTTTTATCTGAGCGCTATTGAGTAGATCTCAACAATAGGCTTAAAATATTCAGTAAACCATGGCATAAACAGAAGTGCTATCATCCAGGTTTTGTTTTTCCATTTATAGGGCACAGGCAAATTTAGCATCATTCTTAAAAGCCCTAGGATTTTCAGAATGGTAAATGAACATTTAATTCAACTTAAAGTCACTGGCTGCATTAACCTCTAGCAAGAGAGTCAGCCTGTCATTTGAAGCTTTGAAACCAGGTATTGACTTTTCCTCTCTAGCTTTGAAAGTCCTAAATGGCATCTTCTTCCAATGGAAGACTGTTTTGTCTCCACTAAAAGTCTGTTGTTTTTTCTAGCCACAATTATCAATTTTCTTAGCTAGATTTCCTGGATAACTTGCTGCAGCTCCTCCATCAGTACTTTCTGCTTTATCTTGGTCTGTGTGTTAGGAAGATGGCTTCTTTCCTTAAACCTCATAAACCAGCCTCAGAAAATCAAGGCCAGAGATTTAATGAGTCAAAATGAGAGAGGTGATCAGGTGGCAGAGGTGGCAAATTCTAGTCTGAACCAAAAACTTCTCTTTACCAGTTCATTGCCTTTTTTTTTTTTTTTTTGAGAGGGAGTACCTCACTCTGTTGCCCAGGCTGGAGTGCAGTGGCATGATCTAGGCTCACTGCAGCCTCCACTGCCCAGGTTCAAGGGGTTCTCCTGCCTCAGCCTCCCAATTAGCTGGGATTACAGGCACATGCCACCACACCCAGCTAATTTTTGTATTTTTAGTAGAGACGGGGTTTCACCATATTGGTCTGGCTGGTCTCAAACTCCTGACCTCATGATCCACCTGCCTCGGCCTCCCAAAGTGCTGGGATTACAAGTATGAGCCACCGCACCCAGCCTGCATTTTTAAAGTTACAATACTGCAGCCTTTTTGTTGAGGGAAAAATATGTAAAATATTCTACAACCTTAAAATATCTAAAACCCAAGGCCAGATGCAGTGACTCATGCCTGTCATTCCAGCACTTTGAGATGCCTAGGCAGATGGTTCTTTTGAGTCCAGGAGTTCAAGACCAGCCTGGGCAACATGGCGAACCTCATCTCTACAAAAAATATTTAAAAAACTAGCCAAGCGTGGTGGCACGTCTGTAGTCCCAGCAACTTGGGAGGCTGAGGTGAGGGGATCGCCTGACCCCAGCAGGTTAAGGCTGTGGTGAGCCGTGATCGTGTCACTGCACTCCAACCAGGGTGACAGAGTGAGACCCTGTCTTAAAAACAAACAAAAAAAATCCTGAAATTCCGTTTTAAAAAAGAAAGGTTTGAAGTTCATCTTTCTTGGTACTAGCCTGACAGATGCTTTTCTAACAAAATGCTTTATTTCCAAGAAATTAAAAGATGTTGATTTTCCTTTGAATAGTTGGTTGTCTTTAGGTTGAGAGTGAGATTCTTTATATCTCAGTTATTAAATAAATGTTTCCTAATTTTTCTTTATTTTTTCCCCTTTTTCCGTGAAGATGTAGCCATAGCTGTAACATATAACCATGATGGGTCTTACAGCATGCAGGTAAGCCTTGCTGGTTTTGTTCTACAGTGCAGAGCTGAATCTGATCTCTTTTATACTGAATAGGGTCTTTTTCCACTCTCTGGTTTCTCTTAAGCCTTTGACTATTATGACTGCAGTTAGGAGAATATCTTATGCCTTTATTTCAGACCCAATTTGGGGAAATTACCCCCTATACAGTTTCTAACTGATTGCGTATTCGGTTGGGCTGTGGTTCCCTTAAGAATAAAAACTTGGCAAAAAGTAAAAGCTCGAATCAGACATTCACAGGCCCCTAAAGTATGTGCATGTATTTACATCAAAAGCAGCAGTTCTCAAATTGTTTGTCTCAGGAACTCTGTACCCTCTTAAAAATACTCACCAGAGCTGTTTGGTTTGTGTTTTATATCTCTTGTTATTTACCATTTAGACTATTTAACAGAAAATTTAATTTTTTATTATTTTTTAATTGTGGTGAAATACACATAGTATAAAATTTATCATTTTAACCATTTGCATTCAGTGCATTCAAGTTGTTATGTAACCATTGCACCCATCCATCTCCAGAACTTCTTTCTTCTTGTGAAACTAAAATTCTGTACTCACTGATTAAACAGTAACACTCCATTCTTTCTTCCCCCGTCCCCTGAGAACCACAATTCTACTGTCTCTATGAATTCGATTCTTCTAGGTACCTGATAGAAGTGAAATAAGGTAGCATTTGTTCTTTTGTAACTGGCTTACTTCACTTGGCAGAGTGTCTTCCATCATGTAGCATATATGAGAATTTCCTTTTTTTTTTTAAAGGCTGTAAAATACTCTGTTGTATATATATACCATATATTCTTTATTCATCCAGCCATTAATGAACATTCAGGTTATTTCTAGCTTGGTTATTGTGAATAACGTTGCTGTGAACAGGGGTGTACAAACACGCTGTTTTTATCCTTTTGGGTATATATCCAGAAGTGGAATTACTGGATCATATGGTAATTCTGATTTTTTGCAAAACCACCGTACTGTTTTCCATAGCAGCTGCACCAGTTTACAGTCCCGTCAGCAGTGAACAATGGTTCCAGCCTCTTCATATCCTTGCCACTACTATTTCCTGGGGTTTTGTTTTTGGTTTTTTGTTTTATAATAGCAGTCCGAATGGGCGTGAAGTAGTAGTATCTCACTGTGCACTTCCGTAACGATGGATGATGTTGAGCATCTTTGCATGTTCTTACTGGCCATTTGTATATCCTCTTTAGAAAAATCTCTGTTTGAGCGCTCTGCCCGTTTCTTGATCTAGTTGTTTTGTTGTTATTGTTGAGTTGTAGGATAAATTGAAAAAAATTTTAAAACCTAGTAACAAGTACACATTCCATTAGCCATCAGATTGACAACATTATCACACATTCAGTAGCCTCTGGAAAATTCCATTGTGTATTATGAGAGAATGAGGGTACAAAAAGCAAATAATATCTTCGTCTTTTTTTTTTTTTTTTTTTTTTTAGACAGAGTTTTGCTTTCATTGCCCAGGCTGGAGTGCAATGGTGCCGTCTCAGCTCACCACAACCTCCGCCTCTCGAATTCAAGCCATTCTCCTGCCTCAGCCTTCTGAGTAGCCAGGATTACAGGCATGCTCCACCACACCTCGCTAATTTTGTGTTTTTAGTAGAGACAGGGTTTCACCATGTTGGTCAGGCTGGTCTCGAACTCCCAACCTCAGGTGATCTGCCCAGCTCGGCCTCCCAGAGTGCTGGGATTATAGGCATGAGCCACTATGCCCAGCCTTAGTCTTATTATGACTTTATGAATACTCTTAAAAAAGGTATTAGGGACCCAAGGAACACCCAGGTCATATTTTAAGAATCTCTAGTATAAAGTTTATGGTAGTCCTTCATTAAAAGAAGACCATTACATTGGCAAAATGGAAGGCTTAAGTAGTCAAAGGAAAAAAAAAAAGTGGGAATTCAATCAAATTCCTATAGTAAGGTACAAGTTTAGGGAATAGAATAAATCATTTTTAATATGAGCTAAGAGATTTCAAATCCTGCACAGATTTATCAGTGATACGTGTTAGACCTCCCTGCATTTTGAGACACATTGATTTTCTTTCTCTGAGATTAAAAAAAAAAAACCATGGAAAGTCTGCCTATTTGAGTATGAGGATTATAATTCATATTAATGCCTCTGGTTTGTTTGAGATGATTTCTTGTCCCTTGGTAGCTGGTAGGTTGCCAGTTTGTTCTAATCTGCTCGTGGAACTACATTTACAATTTCAAAATGTTGTTTTCGTGAATCTTTAAACAAAACTGTTTCCATTCTAACCTTTATGTCCTAAGAATTTCACAAACATTCAAATGGCTGTTTCAGTAGGTTACAAAGCGTAGTAAAATGTCATATTTAACTTAGGATAGATGAGAACCAGTGTATAAATATTGCAGTGTGACCTATTTCACCTTAGCCTACGTAATATATTTGAAAAGAATAGCCATGTGACTTCTACACTAGCATTATGGGAATTGAAATGAAGACTAGAGAGAGAAGATTTAAATGGACTTTCTACCTAAGGGAAATTTTAAAACAGAAAGTTTCCATGTCTTTTTATCAGCTTCCTTGAAATATTGTGAACTTTGTTCTTTGGCATGTGATCTGTTAGAGTGAGAAAATTGTGGCCAATCTCCACGTAATTTATGTTCTTGAATCATAACTGAAACTCATGAATTGGACCTATGTGTTGATGACATAAAAGAAATATCATCTAGGGCTGGGCGCGGTGGCTCACGCCTGTAATCCCAGCACTTTGGGAGGCCGAGGCGGGTGGATCACGAGGTCAAGAGATCGAGACCATCCTGGTCAACACGGTGAAACCCCGTCTCTACTAAAGCTACAAAAAATTAGCTGGGCATGGTGGTGCATGCCTGTAATCCCAGCTACTCAGGAGGCTGAGGCAGGAGAATTGCCTGAACAT